TATATACTTGTGAGCTAATATTTGGAACAGAAAACTGTACCACAATTATTCTTTAGCATAATGTAAATATATCATTTCTTTTTTCCCTTAATAGAGAACAGACATTTTTATTTGATGGTTCTGCTTTTCTTTTATTATAATTAGCAGTTTTACATTCTCTTATAATAGTTGATCAAATTCACTGTTAGACTTCTTTCATGCCTAACATGCAGAAAAATCTTCTTGGATCTCCTGAAATGTGTTTTATTCATCTTCTGCCCTTGCTAGCTTATTATAATTCCGATTTAAACTAATTGCTGTCAGTGCTCATATTTTCTGTGTATGTGCAGGCATGGATATTTTAACATGGACTTTCTGATCCTTTCTAGCCAGGTTAGATTTTTATGCAATTTATGCTTCTTTCCCAGCTGTGTGTATTTCTTCATTTTTAGGGCAACTTTGAAAATATTTTCAATGTATGTTCTTATTAGACTCCTTTTAAATTTGAGGCACAAGTGCTTGAGTGTTGCAAAATTACCTCATTAATAGTCCATGTGAAATTACTTTTCATTGCTTTGGAATTCAGTCTGTTTACATATACTGTACAATCATTTGGATCTCTCTTGATTTTCTGCTTTTAAAATGTGTTAATTTAATTGAAGTGTACTTTAGAATTGTGTGGTTATTGTTCTGAAGAGGATGCAGCATGGTCTTAGCCAGAGTTAAATATGTCGGGTTTTACTTTTAGGGTGGCATGGGAAGACAAGGCTTTGGTTTTAACAATGTGCTCTTATCCCTTTCTCACTGGCCTTAGATAAAACAAACAAAGAAACAACTTCCCCCAAAAACCCAAACCAATTAAGGCAAATTATTAAGGTAACATTAAAGCTGCACAAAATCTGCAGAAAAATAGTCTTTTACATACCTGTCTGGTTAGCCACTCTATGGCAGCTCATATTCCTTTAAATTGCTCTGGAAAATAACTGCTTACATAGTAGATGAAAATGTGGCACTACTGAAGTGTGGGAGAAGGGATACCTGGAGCAACAAATACCCTCACACAGAGTTTGCTATGCTCTGACAGTCAAAAATGACGGGCAAGAGCCCTGGACACCCCTCAATCAAAGCAGGAGAGCCACATACTTCTCTGTAAAATGTTACACCAGTGTTAACGAAAAGCGAATGCTACGTGCTATGATGCATACCATCAATGCCCAAATACCCACTGTGTCCAAGGTATGGATAACATAAGCTCGTTGAAAAAGTCTCTGAGAATCAAATTCCTAAAGCAATCTAAGTTCAGATCAGGACAAAAAGCATGTTTCAACTAGGCAGTCCCAGTGATGACTCACATCAAAGATTCCTTCCAACACAGTTTCAAAACAGTGACAGGTTTTGTGGTTATGGCACGCTTTGGTGGAACAGGCTGCTTTTAATAGTGTCAAAAATAGTGCACTGTCAATTGATACTGTGTTTACCAAGGGGTGCACACACCAAATGCAGACATGCATGTGATGCACTTAGCAACTCTTGCAATGGGATAGTGAGGTCCTTCAGAGCTTGACATGACTGCTTTTTAATGTTTCTATCAGCAATATTCTGCCAATTCTTAGAAAAAGATCCTGAAAAAGGTGAAGGGCCGCTGTCCATTCTGCAGACTGTGACTCAGTCCAGAAAGCCTGTCTCCTCTTTCTACCTGAGGAACCACCTGACTCAGAAGCCTTTGAGTATCAACTTCTACAGTAGCAAACTTAAATACAGTGACATTTTGAAATATGTTGAAAGATCCCGAGCCTTACACATTATGAATGTCTGCTATCAAGATGACGAGTAGCAGCATCTTATTTCAAGGTACTTGGGGAGAATATTCTTGAGCCATGGTGAAATAAAAAAGAAACCTCTGTGATAAACGGAGCTCTCAAGTCCTTGGGTCATTAGACCATTACTGGAAATAAGAGAAAAGGAGTGTGGCCAAGAAGCAAGAACTATTGACAGAAGCCGTTCCTACATGCATTTTGGAAGAGAATTTCTGTCTTAGCGTGACTGATATCTCTCCTGCTTTGCAACAGCATTCTCAGACCCAAATTTCAAGATGCAAATACAAGAATTGACAGATCAATTTGTTATCAAGTGTTCTTTAACACAGTTCCAGTCCAACTCACCCTGTTTGGTGTTGAGCAACAGAGCATTTGAGGTCTGAATATGTAGTGACAAGAGGGGTTGAAATTACTAAAAAGTCTCTCTATTTGTAGTTGTGGAAGGTTGAAATTATCCATGTATTTTGACCAAGGAAAGTAGTGGGGTAACTTAAAGAAAGGATACTTGTTTACAGCAATATAAAAAAATTGGAGCTGATACAGCTGATACCACTAGAAGTACACTGATACCACTAGAAGTACTGCAATATACCAAAATCTTTTTTATTTGCTTAGCAGTCTGGTTTATGTCAAAATTGAAAAGCAACATCATCATACTATATCTTATATCTACTAAGGAGTTTTAGGGAAGTAGTTGAGTCACCATCCCTGGAGGTATTTAAAAGACATGTAGATGTAGTGCTTAGGGATGGGGTTTAGTGGTGGACTTGGCAGTGCTGGAATAATGGTTGGACTTGATGATCTTAAAGGTCTTTTCCAACCTAAACGATTCTATGATCCTATTATGTACCTCACAAGTCGGGTGGATCATCTAGTCTGGCTATAAAGTGAAACCATGTTCAAGCACAGAAAATATGCAAGTTCTGCTTTTTGGAGACAAGATGGTTAGAAAAGGGTAAATTTTTATTTTCTAATCATAAAATCCTCACAAATACGTAAATGCCATCTTCCCCCCAGTCAATTAGAAAGCTAAACTTAGAAACAACAAAACCTTTTTTTCATTAAAAGTCATTGGGATTGGAAGCATTTGAAATCCTTCTTGCAGGACTAGGGTCCAGGATTCTTCTTCAAACCATTTTTTAACTGGAAACATGTCTTAGGCAGCTGGTCTTACATGCTGGTAAGGTATTTTGCCTTTGGCATCCATTCATCTTATGCCTATTTTAGAGGACCTTTCACATCCCTTCTTGCTGCCTAACTCATTATTCAGGTTTTTCCCCTACACTGATGCCTGTTATCGTGACAGAAGAAGATGAGATTGCTTTAACATGATTTGTTCCCAACAAAATCACATTGGCTGTTACTTAAGTTTTTCTTTGCTTTCAGAACCCTTGATTATGAATTGCTTTATTATTTGGTCTGTTATTGCTCCAGGAATTGATGCTAAACTGACCAATTTTTAATTCCTTAGCCTTTTTCCCAGCCCTTCAAAGACAAGTGCTTTGTTTCTCTTTTCTAGCCTGCCAGAGCTTTCTACATCGTTCCCAAGTTTTGAGACTATCAGTTAGTTCTCTCAGTATCACAGCTGATTTTTACCCAGCCAGGACACCTTGAAAACACCGTACCTACATAACCATTCTTTTATCTAGACCAAGTTTGTACACCCTTTTCTTTGCTGTTGGTTGTAGCAGCATCTGATCACAGTTAAAACTTTTAGGGCTGACTGAAACTAAACAGATACCAAATACTTCTGTTTCCTGGTGCTGTCAGATGGTAGATTGGAAGAGTAGAGAAGCAAAGTTTTCCCTTTGCCTTTTTGTTACTTTATTTTCTTATTATCCCTCATGTCCTTTGCAGTTCTGTTGCTTTTCATGCCATTGAACTTTTTGACTCTTGAGCATACGGGACAGTTGGGCAGCATCCAAAAGAGTATAACTGATCAGGAAGGAGTTGTATTAATCTTAGTGGAGGAATTGGAGAAAGATGAGTGGAAAACAGATGTGGACTTCCTTCTCCATCTAATTCTGTCTCCATGATGGAGAAGAACACCTCCTCTGTCTTGTAGATACACATACATTAGGGTTCAGTTTTGACTATGGAATCATCACATGCAGATGTGAAGAAAACAAACTGACAATAAGAGAAGTGAGCAGCAAATGATTATTGTTCATACTTGCCTGGGATCTTTCTGAGTTAAATACTGTGTATACAACTGCTAGGTGGTGAATAGGCTTATAAGTCAACTAAAATTGATGGAAAGGCTTACAAAGGGATATAAATATACGCAAACTGGCACATTCTCAGAAGTGCCTACCTACTTAAGCGTGCAAAATCTGCGTCCCTGTCATGGTTTGGGCAATCCTCAAACCAGGACAGTCCCAAATCTAGTTACGTTTTCTCAAATATGTGGTGGAGTTTGGAACTTCTGCATACAATCAAATATATAATCTTTTGTATGTATAGCATAGGAATCCCTTTTGCTGTTACAGGTTGGGTTGTGCATTTGGAGAATTTGTTCCATAAATTTAGTGTGGATGCTAGTACCCTTTAAAAGAAGGTAGTGGTAAATTTTGGTTATGGGCTGTGGTTGTTTTTCATGTCCAAATAAATGTATTACCTTAAAATGTAGTCTTTTAGTAGAATTTGGCATACTTCATGTAGATACACATGAAGTATAATCTTATTAAACCAAAATGCTTGGCTGAACTTGGGCTTTTTTGCATAATGAGATGTTATATTAAAATGTGAATTTTTAGTGCATGAGGATGAAGGAAATCTCTCTGCATTGAAATTTAGGCCCTGTGGAGGGTTTTGGCAAATTGTTTTGTACTGCAGTTCACAATCAGAAACCACCAATCCCAGGAGAACTACACTCTAACTGCAAACAGAGTTTTAATAAAATTAAAATTTGAAAAGATAAATTTGAAGTTAAATTTGAAAAGTTTGGAGTATTGTGTAGTTCTCGAACCAGGATGTAGTGTCTTGAAACTGAACTTTTAAAATCAAATATAATGTAAATTTTCCAACACTTTTTAAAATGAATTCTTTCTAATTTGATTTGCTGCAGTGCTTAGCAGTAACTTTCCTGTAAAAAACTGATGTGTAACTTTATGCTGAAGACAGTTCAAAATGAAATGCTACTGTTTAAATGTTATTCCAACGTGAATTTGACATGCTTCTTTTCTGTCTTGCTGTCTTGCACAGGTCTCATTTTTCTTGTTCATTATTTTTGTGGTGTATACCATGCTGCCCTTCAACATGAGGGACGCTATAGTTGCCAGCGTCTTGACCTCTGCATCTCATACGATTGTGCTGAGCGTCTGTCTATCGGGTACAGCTGTTGTAAAGGAACACTTGGTTTGGCAGGTAGGTGCTTTGTGGAATTAATGATTAATTGTGCAATGAATCACCTGGTAAATGAGCCAGGAGTGCCTCAGTTGGTACTTGGGAGTATAAACTTATTTCTCTCTTCATTTCTGAATTGCTACAGACTTAATTCACAGGTCGGCACTCTCTGATAATGAGAGTGTCAGTAATGTTATGTCTTGCTGAATGGCACACTTAAGTGGTAGAATCTACAGCCATGTAGCACTTAACTCATGTGAAAACTAACATTGCTCGAAAAATTATGTGATGCAGCCATACTGTGGTAGATGCATTACCACTCTGGTATGTAAACCACATTGCTCCTCTCACCTCATTAATGCCTTAACTTCCAAGACCAAGGATTATTTTCAGGTATCAGTGTTATCTTTGACTCAAAAAAGCATTGTTCCTTTGAATACCCTGTGGTCTGCTGGACTGAAGATCTGTTGTGAAGACATTGCCCTCTCTAAGTGTGCCGTAGGGCTTGTCCTTCTTCTGTAATTCTCAGCCATTTATAGGAATTCTACAGCCTCCTCCTGGTTGGGCCCCCTGATTGAAGGGGACTGGCTGGCTCTAGACTCCATGACATTTAGGGAGCCCATCTGTGTTTGCAGTTGGGTCTTGGCTTGCAGATATCTCAACTCTGATACTTTACTACATGACATACTGCAGATTAATAATTTCTAAAAATCCAAATATTAGGAGTTGTTTTTCCTTACTGTTTTGCAGAAGATCTTTTAAACGGTGAAATACTACAGTTTTTGTTGTGGTACTGTGATGATCCCAGCTGTCATTGATAGGAATCTGTATTTTTAAGGAAAAATTTAGTTTTTATTTTGAAAAGCAAATACATGGGGTTTTTTTTAATGTAGTTATGTCATTTTGGGGAAACACAATTATTTTAACTTTTGCATCAAAATGACACTGAAGCTTAAAAGTAAGTACATTTTTATAAACATACCAGTAGAACAAGGTAGACACCATGCTATTTATTGTGAATAGCACGAAGAATGCAGCAAATAGTTTCTACTTACCTTTTAAGCTACTTGAGCCTTATTTTGAAAAACATTGTGCCTCAACAGGTAACTTCAAAATTGCAGTAATTTTACAAAAGTCGTGCCTTCTAAGTTGTTGTTCGGGAAAATAGATTTTATTTCCAGATATGGCTGCATATCTGTGTTATATGTAATATTGAAATTGAAGTCACATAAACGAAATGTGTTCTAAGATGTAGATCTCTGTAGAAATTTTAAATGGTGAGATAAGTGGGTTTGCTTTTCTTCTGCTGATTTGGGTTAGTTGCATGTTTTTTGCAGAGGTTGCAAAGTTGTGCTGTATGTTAATCAAGGACTGTGGTCATCTGCACCCAATGTAGTATTTTAGTAATTCAGTAATACAGTTACTGATAATTGTAGTGGAATAAATCAGGAAGAATGTTATTCTTGGTTTTATGTCAACCTATGGCTTTTATTCTAGGCATGGATATTCAGCTAAAACAGAATTAATGTTTGGCACTCCTTCCCTAAAAGCGTTTTGGGTTAAAGTTGCTGTTTGCAGAATTTACTTATTTTTCCTGCCTATCTTTCTAGACCATTAAAATTTGGTGTATCTAAAACAGTACTTTCAGAAGATGTTATATTTTTAGACACATCAGGTCTCCAGACTCAAAAGAAATAAAGCATGGGCTGTGATGTACAATTAGTGCCTTTCATCTCTTCTGTAACTTCCTGTTTCATTCATAAAGAGTGAGAGTCTGAGAAATTTGTAAATTTGTTAAGAGTGTTTAATTTCCAAGATGTTATCAATTTTCTATTCTCTCTTTGTAAAATGTATTAAATGTTCTGAATAGTTTGGCAGTCACTGAAAGTACTGAGTGCACTGTGTTCTTATGAATGTGTGGGACTAAATGCCACTATTGCAGTTTATTTGCCCTCTGTACACTTTTAGATTAATATTGTTTATACTTTGGAGTATAAGCAAAACCATATTTGTTTTGTGTTCTTTGCTTTTGGAATCGAGACCACAAATAAACGATTAGATTAGAGATACCGATTACACTAAAAAGAGAAAGAACATTTGTCAGTGATATACCTCAAGTTGGTGTAGAAAGTGTGTGTAATTTCCAACAACAACAACAAAAAAGAACTGGGGTGTAGTTGTTTTAAAGGACCGTGCTGTTGAATAGAGTTTTTTGGGGAAAAAGAAAAAAATATATTGGTGAGGCCTGAACTGAAGCTGCTTTGCAATGTTCAGTCACTAAAGCCCAGAGATGAGAAACTACCAGTAGACTGAAATCAGAAAGCTTACAGAAACATGTTCAGGGCTAAGTAGAGTAAATCTGACTACACTTATCTTTGACAAAAATATATTATTTTGATTTCAGGGCTACTGATTTGTCTCAACAAAACAGAAAAAATACATGACAATGTTAGCAATGAACAGAGTATTTTCCTTCTGGCATGTGGTTGTTTTTTTTTCTAGAGGATAGATAGGGAACCAGTAGTAAGCACATAAGAAACAGAAAGACAGTGGTATAACAAATCCACCTGTAGGTAAACATCAGCTATTATAGCATATGTATCCTGTACATACAGCAGGTATCCTTCTGTAGAGAGCACCTGCATCTGCTTTATAACTATTTCCTATGTACTGGAAGACTTTGATTAAACCTCCTCTGAGCCTTCTATTCTCTTGGCTGAACAAACTCCCTTCTTTCAGTCTTTCTTCTGTCAAGTTATTCAGCCTTATAATGCAGCCCTCTGGTGGACTCTTTCCAATTTTTCATCGTCTTCCATTGATTCTCTGTTATTTTCACATTTGGCAGAGCCTATCTTACTGGTTTTGTCATTCTTTTTGTTGTCCTCGGTAAAGCTTTACACCCAAAATTGGCTTCAGTAAAGCTGAAAGGCTTAGCATGCTCTTGATTATCTGGTGTTGGTTGCCATCAGAGATACTGAGATAAAAGCCTCCTGCTGGGTTAAAGAATCCTTCAACACACTCTCTGCTGGTTATGAGAACTAGTTTCTGTTTAACCTGTGCATGTCTTTAGTGGGGAGGGAATCCACCTTGGCTTAAAAATTGGCAATGATGGATATGGCTTCCACAAGCCTTCATATTTTTTCCACAGTTGTTGACCGTCAGTGTTAAAGTTTTGTTCCTGTTCCCTGGTGGGAATTTATCTAGCTTTGTCACCCAGCTTCTGGATCTTGTTCTTTTTGGCTGGTAGACTGACAGACCCAACAATATCCAATTTCTGTTTCTCCCATGAGAGTACTTCTAGACTATCATGAATTTGCCTCATAACCTTTTTGTCAGTAAAATAAATTAGTTGCTTGCTTTTGCATGAGCTAAGCCTTTCATCGCTCACAGTTCTTTGAGTTCTTACTTGTGCTTCGTCGACATCTTTCTTCCAATGTGGTCATTAGCCTTAGAGGAGCGTGCCAGGAGCAGCTGCAGCAGTGCCAAATGCTTACGGGGGGCTAGGTCTACAAAGGGGTCAGTGTGCTGTGGTGCTCAGCACAGAGACACAGGCTCTACCAGTAAAATACCTTGCAGTTCTGTGGGGAGTTTAATGCACAGCTGTGGGATCTGTGACAGAGAGGAGGAAAAAGAATCCTGTGTACCAGTCTCAGTTTATGAGACGGTAACTGTGTATGTATGCTTTGGGTTGGTTTGTTGGTTGGTTTGTTTTTTTTTTTTTCCTGTTGAAAATTCTAATCCTAACCCTTACAAGGAGCACAGTCTGGAATCCAGGACTCTGCCCCCTCTTTCCAGGTGAGCATCCTACTGCCAAGCAGAGGATGTTGTTGAGCCTGGTGGTTAGGACTGCTGCAAGAGAACATGACTCTCATTATGGTGTTAAGGCATTTGGCTCTGAAGACTTTCACGACTTAACATCCCTTTCAGTTATTGCTGGAATGGAAAGTATTTCTCTGCCATCCCTTTCTATAAACACATAAACTGTTTCTCCCCAAACCAGAACAGATTCTAATCAAATACTTGTATTTTTCCTGCTCTGTTATCAACTGCTCAACCATTCTGATCTCGTAATGGGTTGATACTATCGTTAGAGGTCATTTTGATCTTAATTTGTTCTAAAAGAGCTAACCAAAATCATTAAACATCCTATAAGCTTCCATTTTTCTTTTTCCCTTTGTTATATATGAGGAGTGTGATTCTTTTATTTTAGTCTTTTAAAAAAGTATTGTTGTTTTACTCTATCCACAAGCAATTTTGTTGCTCTTGTAATCTTTTTTTCATTAGCTGTGGCTAAATGTTTTCCAAACCTTGGCTAAATCACTACAAACTGTCATTCATGGTTTGGTTTTGGTTTTTTTTTTTTCCTTTAAACTAGTGTTCCTTACCTTTGGGGAGTTTTTTGGCAGCTCCTTGCAGCACTGTAAAAGGGGTCCCTTTTAGAGGCACAAAATTGTAACTGGGCAGCATACATGTGTACATATATACCCTTTTTTTTTTTTTACTCTGTTCAAGAATGCGTACTTTTATGTAAGTAGCATTTGGTCTTTGCTTGTGTGATCAGTTCCTTGCCGGTAGCATGTATAAATCCTAAGATAATGTTCTGTCCTGGCAGACAAAAAAAAAGTGCTAAATGAAAATTTTATTTTCAAGAACATTTGAATTGGGAAATTCCAAGGCTACATCCACAAGATCTTGTTCATTTGCCATCAACTAGGCTGAAGTCTCCTATTGTAATACAAATTTTATCCTACATGCTAGAGGCAGTTAAAGATGAAGCTGCCTTATTCATATGTAATCTGCTGGTGTATATGCACTTAGTATTAGTGTACATCCAGATTATGGTTCCTGTTTGACTTCTGATTCATGAGCTTTTGGTATAATTTGTTTTAAGATCTGTAGTGACTAAGAAATTGGTAATTTTTTTCGCCTTTTGAACCCACTGTGGGTTGGTTGGTTTGTTTGTTTTTTCCCGAATAGGCCATATCCATTGATTTTTAACTTGGCAATCAGGTGAATCTTCT